CAGCTTGTAACACTCCAAAGAGAAAGGAAAACTTGAAATCGCATCATATGACCCCTTTAAAATTATATTATTACTATCATTATTATTTAAATAAATAAATAGGACTCCTATGGCCTGTTTGATTGATTAATTGTGTCCCTTTATTATTTGTTATAATTTCTGTTAATTCATGTACTCATGTTATATTACTTATTATATTGAATAATAATAATAATAATAATAATAATAATAATATAATTATTATTATTATTTAGTTCTAGTTTTTTACTTTAAAAAGTCCTAGAAATTGAATTGAATATTCAATACCGCAAATACTCAGAGATTGCAATTAAAATTTCAATATTTTATTGTTAATTCTAAAACATATTCTAATAAAACTGGGTTATTAATGATGTGGATGCAGCATCACGCAAAACAAAACAGTTACTGATGCCACTGTAGAAATACCCGGACATATTTTTACTCATAATTAATTCAGTCTTCCTGATGTGCTTAAATTTATATTTATTTATATGTAAAAATGTATATGTTTAGGCATAAAACTTTAAGAAAAAAGTTAATGTATTAATGTGAAAATCAGTGTTTGTGTATCTTTACGATATCTTAAGCAGAGATTTAAAGTTTAAAAGACACTTGAGACTTGAGATTCCCTCATCAGAAACAAACGGAGGCAGTCGGAGAAGTCACAACTTTCCTTGGGATTATAAAATCCATTCGCTGCCCTCGTTCCTGTGAGCCTCCTACTTACAAACATCAAGCTCACATAAAACCTTTCCTTTTGTCCCCACTTTCCTCCTTCATGCATGCTTTCACTCAGAGTGAGTTTCTTGCTGTTCATAATTCACTGCAGAGCGACAGGAGCTCTGATGCAAATCTGAATTCTGAGAACAGCATGAGTGCAAAACAAGTTTTAAAGGATCCAAACGAAGTTCACAGTAAAGAGACTGGATATGAGCGCAGTAACCGCTCTGGCCTCAATACTAAAGACTGCTGTGATGTGAAGCGTTTGCTCCACATGTAGATGTGTAGGATGTGCTTTATTAGCGAGGGCATGACGGGTGTGTGTTGTTGGTATCAGTCCTGATGTTATGCTGCTTGATTAGATTCATGCCGTCTAACAGATATCGACTGGATGAACGTAAACAGAGCGAGAGACAGAGAGCTCACCCTATACTGAAGATAAGGTCAATGTATTCTTTTTAGACATTCCATTCCATCCAAACTCTTTTGTAATTATTGCTGTTCTCTCTCTTCTAGCATATTAAACACTACAACCCTCTACTCACACACACTGGTCTAAAGGTCTGATATACTGTACTTCAAGTGAAACTAAAGATTGAACTGGTGTGAAGTGGTTTCAAACAAGAGCAGACCAAAACTGAGTTCATTTGGAGTTTGAAACATTTTCTGGACAAGTTTGCATCCTAGTAAACACCCTCAAACTCCCATTGGTCTGCGGCGATTATGTAATAAGTGGGTGTGGCTCCACCTTCTTTGATGTGGAAACCTTCTCTGGTACATTTCTTCTGTTTAGTCCGTCAATGTCAGATGTCCGTGAGTGAAAACATGAACAAACTGACAAGCTGATTTACAGTAGAAACTAAAGTTGTCATTTTAATTGAAAGCGACGCTGACACTGTTTTTCCATGTTTAATACTGTAAAGCTGCTTGCTTTAAAGCAGTCTATTGTATAAAGTGCTATAAAAAAATTGTGATGTGACTTAATGCTTGGAGTACCAAACTGCAATCATAGTGCAAATATTCACATTGCTATGATCAGATGCTTTCTTAACTGCTGTTTTCTCACCGCTGTCATGTTTGTGTTTATTTTGTTAAAGAGAGGAAAGTGCACAGCACATAATTACATATTCTTCTAAAAGTCAATCTAAGCAGTGTGTATATAGTAGGGCTGGGAAAATAAATAGATGCATCGCGAATCGAGAAGTGATTCCGCATCGATTCTGAGATTTTCCGAATGCATGGAGATTCTTTCTCCAGTCGATACTGAGCTTAGTTTTGAACAGCAGATGGCGCTGCACGCTTTAGAAACAGCCGTACTCTGCTCGTTTCCAAATCCTTACACACACTTGAACCTAAAATAATCATTCATCAAATTTGAAAAGGTTGAAGCGAATTACAAGGGTGTTCAC